GTTGAAGCTCCTTTTTGGCGTTAGGGTTAGGGTTAGGGTTAGGATTAGGGTTAGGGTTAGGGTTAGGATTAGGGTTAGGGTTAGGGTTCTAGCTCATCTAAACTCTCAAATCATGAATTTATTTCCCAAGGCGTTATTTCGAAATTTGGCGCCACCGCCGCCATCTTTGTCTCGTTAAGTATGAAAGCGAATGGACTCCCGTACCCGTAGCCTCGAGACATCAAGATACGGCTACCGTACCCGTAGCCACTGCCTATATATTAACAGTCACTGTGCACAGTGAGCAATGGCGGCGTTAGTGTGTGTGCATAAAGCATTTACACGGAATTGACAAGAAACTGTCGGCAATAATAGGTGAAAGAGAGTATAGAAACATTAAGAATTTTGTAGTACTACTAGTATTAGATTTCGTATTTATTTAGCATTATATTTTATTGAAACGTTTCAAGTGCCTGGTCAAGCGATATAGACCAAATAATTCTGTCCCATATAACCTTTTTTATATTTTGGTGAGGGTTATATTGGGACAGAACGGGGTTCATTGAAATTTCGTGAGATCGCATGCAAAATGCATGCGCTGAGAATGCGGCCTGTACGACGCTATTGGCGCGAAAAAAAACCTACCGGTACCGTTCCCTTCTACATAGCTTTACCTTGCTACTGATATGTGTATACATTCACTTCAATCGTTATTCACTTCTTAAAAGATTGTTTTTCATAAACACCGCTTCGTTCAGCTTTCCTAAATTACATCGCCATTTACAAACAATCAGACCAATCACAGCGAGTCTATCAGGCCTCCTGCAGCGCCACAGATACAAGCGAGAACCAGGGGCTATTGTAAGACTCGCTCTGATTGGTCTGATTGTTTGTAAATGGCGATGTAATTTAGGAAAGTTGAACGAAGCGGTGTTCATGAAAAACAATCTTTTAAGAAGTGAATAACGATTGAAGTAAAATGTATACACATATCAGTAGCAAGGTAAAGCCATGTAGAAGGGAACGGTAGGGTTTTTTTCGCGCCAATAGCGGCGTACGGGCCGCATTCTCAGCGCATGCATTTTGCATGCGATCTCACGAAATTTCAATGAACCCCGTTCTGTCCCAATATAACCCTCACCAAAATATAAAAAAGGTTATATGGGACAGAATTATTCGGTCTACCAGCGATAGTGCTACGTATAGTAAATCTAATTCCTTTTTATTTACTGTCATTCTGTTATTAAACCAGCCTTAGTGCCTGCGTCGATACTCTCCGTGATTCACGTAACACAGGATTTAAGCCCTAAACAGGATGATGGCATAGATTAGATATAGTCCAGTACTCAGTAGACTTCGCTTAGTACAAATGCCATCAGCTATATATAATTATAACAATTAAATTAGGTATCTGGTAACAAATACGTGTGGGTATAGACGATTTGTTATACAGTAAGTACAGTTGTATGCAGTAAAATCCTAGAGTCTACTATCCGTTTAATTGTAAAATTTAAGCGTTTTCTGCTGCAATCCTTGGTGTGGAAGTCTATTTGATCAGCTTTAATTGTCTCTTCCCGTCAGCAAAATAGTCCCTTGAACTTTGAAGACTATCAACTTGAACCTTTTAAGAACTATCTATGAACTTTGACAACTATGTTTATGAAGTTCGTATTTGCACAACATTTATACTTGGAATGATTAGGTGATTTCGATTGCCATCGATTCAATCACAGGCACTTGAAACGTTTCAATAAAATATAATGCTAAATAAATACGAAATCTAATACTAGTAGTAGTACTACAAAATTCTTAATGTTTCTATACTCTCTTTCACCTATTATGGCCGACAGTTTCCTGTCAATTCCGTGTAAATGCTCTATGCACACACACTAACGCCGCCATTGCTCACCTTGCACAGTGACTGTTAATATATATAGCAGGTAGGAAAGCGCTCGACTCCAATCCGCTCGACGCTCGATGGATTTCACACGATTACAAGACAAAGACACAACCATTCTACTCCATCTTTGTTTCAATTTCAACAACAGTGTTCACTTGTTAGAAATATAGACTGTCTCTGTTCGTAACCGAGCTCTGTCACGCGAAATCACACAAACACTGGCGAAATTCGAGCGTTCGCTAACGTTGCGCGGTCAATGTAAATGTCTGCCGGAATCAGGAAACACCTAGCGGCGCTATTGCGTCATTCGTGCGCCGCAACGCTGGAACGTTTTTGCAACGCTCCAATGGCAAGGCTCGTACGGGAGGTGGAAAGTAGCGTGGTGCTTCCCAAAATGCAATGCGCCGCCTATAGCCATGTACTTGCAGACATTTACATTGACCGCGCAACGATAGCGAACGCTCGAATTTCGCCAGTGTTTGTGTGATTTCGCATGACAGAGCTCGGTTACGAACAGAGACAGTCTATATTTCTAACAAGTGAACACTGTTGTTGAAATTGAAACAAAGATGGAGTAGAATGGTTGTGTCTTTGTCTTGTAATCGTGTAAAATCCATCGAGCGTCGAGCGGATTGGAGTCGAGCGCTCACGGTTATGTTGATTCGATCTAAAGGACAACATAACTAGGGCAGTACATTAAGGGCACCGAGGCGGCATTAACAAGAAGGGGCAAGGGCGCAGTGTATGGCGGGGTCGGTCGGCGCTTGATTTTCGAGTGGCAGGGGCTACTGGGGCGATTGATAGGTGGCACCGACGGCGGGGATTGCCGTCGCGATGCCGCTCGGTTAATTCGAGCTGGACGCAGTGTGCTGAGGGGTACGGTAGCGCCGGTCGGTTCGTGAAGCTCTTTTTGGCTGTATAGGGTTAGGGTTAGGCGTTGGATTAGGGTTAGGGTTATGGTTTAGCTGGTTAGGTTAGGGTTCTAGACTCATCTAAACTCTCATAATCATGAATTTATTTCTCAAGGCGTTATTTTTCGAAAATTTGCGCCACCGCCAGCCATCTTTGTCTCCGGTAAGTATGAAGCGAATGGAATCCAGTACCCGAGCGCTCGAAGACATCAGATACGGCTACCGTACGGTAGCCACTTGCCGGTATTATAACAGCACCTGTGCCCAGTGAGCAATGGCGGCGTAGTGTGTGTGCTAAAGCATTTACACGGAATTGACAGGAAACTGTCGGCAATAATAGGTGAAAGAGAGATTAGAAACATTAAGAATTTGTGTAGTACTACTAGTATTAGATTTCGTATTTATTTAGCATTATATTTTATTGAAACGTTTCAAGGGCCTGGTTCAAGCCGATTTTATAGACCAATGAAGTTCTGTACCATATAACCTTTTTTATAATTTTGGTGAAGGTATATATTGGCGACAGAACGGGGTTCATTTGAGAATTCGGTGAGTCGCATGCAAAATGCATGCCCGCTAGAGATGCAGCCTGTTACGGAACGCTATTGGCGCGAAAAAAGCCTACGTTCCCTATCTACATAGCTTTACCTCTACTGATATGTGTGATGACATTCACTTCGATCGTTTATTCACTTCTTAAAGAGATTGTGTTTCATAACACCCTGGTTCAGCTTTCCTTAAATCTTAATCGCCATTGTACAAACAATTCAGACCATCACAGCGAGTCTATCAGCCTCTGCAGCGCCACAGATACAAGCCAGGATAACGCATGTGGGCTATTGTAGACTTCGCTCTGCATTTGTCTTGATTGTTGTAAATGACGCATGCTAATTAAGGAAGTTGAACGAAGCTGGGTGTTTATTGAAAAGAGCATGCTGTGTGATGAGTGAATAACGATGAAGTTAAATGTTACAATATCGTAGCAAAGGGTAAAGCCATGGTAGAAGATGAACGGGTAGGTTTTTATCGCCGCCGAATAGCCGGGCGTCAGCCGGCGCGATTCTCAAGCGCATGCATTTTGGCATGCGGATCGTCACGAGAAGTGTTCCAATGAACCCCGTGTCTGTCCAATTAACCCTCACCAAAAATAAAAAAGGTTATATGGGACAGTATTATTCGGTTACCCAGCGATGTGGCGTACGTATAGTAAAGTCTAATTCCTTTTTATTTTACTGATCATTTGTTATTTAACCGCTTAGTGCTGCGTCGATACTCTCCGCTGATTAGCGTAACACAGATTAAGCCTAAAGGATGTGTCATTAGATTAGATATAGTCGAGT